TTAAAATAAACTATTTCTATAAACATTGAGGAGTTAAGTGAATAAGACATTTCAACTACAATAGTTAAACACAGGAAGCATATAATACAAGTTCCCATCTGCCTCTGTTTTAGGGAGCAGTATAAACCTTTGGGTTTTCTAATCTGCATGGGCCTGGTACAAAACCAGCTACGGTCAATGGGAGTCTATCACTTCCAGTTGATTTTGGATCTGGCCTTGATTGATTCTTTTTAAGCTTTTGTGTGTTGCTCATTTGCAAGGGGTGAGCATTCCTTATTATTCCTTGACATACCTGACATGACACACCTTGAAGTGGGCTGATTTTTCAGAGGATGGGTAGCAGGCAGAAAAGAACCAATTAAGTTATCTTCTAAGCAGCTAACATAAAGGAGCCATTCAAATATACAAATTAATAATCTAATAGTATACATGTAAATAGGGAACTAGTTAAAAGGGCCATAACTGAGGAATCTGGCTCACTAAATTCAAACAAGGAAGGGGATTATTAACAAGACAATATGGCATTTACCTTGAAAAGACAATAGTATCTAAAAAACCAAAGAAGTTACAATCAAATCATTGCTGATTTATCTTCATCGGAAAAAGCTTTTCCAGTATTTTTAAACATTGGTGGAATAAAAAATGTTCTCAGTGTGAACTAAAAAAGTTTTAACTTTTTGAAGTTCTGAGAACATCACTTCCAAAAGTGATGGCTATTAAATCTGATATTTATTACCCTATTACAGTAGAACCTCAGAGTTACGAGCAGACCCCATCAACCACACACCTTGTTTGGAATCTGAATTATACAACTGGGTAGCGGGGGAAGGAAGCAAATTCAGTATAGTGCACTGTGTTAAATGTAGACTACTAAAAAAAAGGAAAGTTTAAAAAAAATTGACAAGGTAAGGAACCTGTTTCTCTGCATATTTCATTTAAGATGGTTCAAAGCAGCATTTTTTTTCCTGCAAAGGTTCAAAGCTGTATTAAATCAATCAACTGTCAATTTTTGAACGAACCATCATGTTTTATTCAGCATTACGAATATCTCTTAAGTTTTTTCTGTTATAGACTAACTCGGCTACCCCTGGAAGCTTTTGAATATTTCACAGTTATGAACTTCCATTCCTGAGTTGTTTGTAACTCCGAGGTTCTACTGTCCCTTGGCATTAGCTAATCATATATGTATGAACTGAAGCAGCACTGAGACCAGGATATGGAAGGTGATGACTGAATGGCAAAGGCAGCATGTTGATACACGAATCCACTGCTAAAACGTAAGGCAGACAGAAGAATTTTAAATCCTGTGAGAACTCAAACAGAAGAATTCACCTGACTTCCCTGAGGCAGTTGACTTGAAATCAGGCCCAAACAGAGCACCAATGTATTCTGCACCCTGCCTTTCAGGGTCAATAGATCAGGGCAATGAAGCCATACTGTTAGAACTTTGTTCATTAGAAGATGTCAGCTCCGATGTCACAATCTTGCCATTTCTCAATGGGCCTCACGATGCTTTTGGCAAATCTCTCTCACAAAGCTATGTAGAAAACTAAGCCGTGATGGGATCCGAAGCAAAGCACCGCCATGGATTAGAAATCAGCTGACGGACAGAAGGCAAAAAGTAAGAATAAACAGTCCCTTTCAACAGTAGCCCTCCTAGGTGACTGATAGCCTGAAGCATGATTTAACATGGTTATTTATAAATAAGCAAGCCTTGGGCAGGGGACGTTGTGCTGATATCCTGGTACCAGCACCCATGTTCAATTATAGTGACAGTCAGTCTGGATAGAGTCTGTTCATGTGAAATGCTAAAGAACGCCTCAACCCTGGGATTCCATTGTGAGCTGATGGGAGCACTGATATGGATCAGGTTCTAATCCAGGAGCAGGCAATAACACAGCAGTGGTTCACCAGAGTTAGCCCCTGGTGGGCCGCTGCCGCTATGTTTCCCTGCACAGCTGCAGGTATTAGCAACTGCAGCTCCCATTGGCTGTGGATTGCCATTCCCAGCCAATGGGAACGGTAGGAAGCAGCATGGACTGGGCCACCACTTCCCACAGCTCCCATTGTCCAGAAATGGTGATCCATGGCCAATGGGAGCTGCAACTGCCTATACCTGTGGCCAATTTCAGAAGTGGTGGGGGCCTTCCAGGAGCTAACCCTGACAGATCAGATCCAGCCCATGGACCAGAATTTGCCAATCCCAGTTCTAATCCCTGTTGTTCACAAGGGCTTTGTGCTAGAGATGTCATGTAGCCACCATTAATCAATGTAATTCTATAAAAATCAATGGAGCTACCTCGATCAATGGAGCTACCTCATGAACTGGGCTTGTTTAGTTTGGAAAAAAGAAGATTAAGGGGGGACATGATAGCGGTTTTCAAATATCTAAAAGGGTGTCACAAGGAGGAAGGAGAAAATTTGTTCCTCTTGGTTTCTGAGGACAGGACAAGGAGTAATGGGCTTAAAGTGCAGCAGGGGAGGTTTAGATTGGACATTAGGAAAAAATTCCTAACTGTCAGGGTGGTCAAATATTGGAATAAATTGCCAAGGGAGGTGGTGGAATCTTCCTCTCTGGAGATATTTAAGAACAGGTTAGATAGACATCTGTCAGGGTGGTGTAGACGGAGCTTGGTCCTGCCTTGAGGGCGGGGGGCTGGACTCGATGACCTCTCGAGGTCCCTTCCAGTCCTATTATTCTATGATATCCACTATGGCCTGTCCGCCATTTCCCATTACGTGGCCCAATAAGACAGTGTGAGGGAAAATAAAAACAAACTCCTCCTTTATCAGACAATTACTCCAGGGCAATGCCACTTCCCTTCAAACTCTGTCCAAATTCCCCCGGGTAGCGGTTGGGGTCCGTCTGACCACCGAACCACCCTTCCCCCTAGGGTTAGGGGGTTCTACTATCATCCCATTTTGTCCTAGGTGTTCAGCTAGAAATCCAGGGCCTGTTAGACACATGTGCAGGGGAATCCTTAAATCACAGAAAGGCAAACAAATGGGATTTTCAATGGGAAAATAGTGACTCAGGCCATCCTAGTAGTTGAAACTCTTAACTTGTGTTGATCTGAAAGCAGCTTAATCCAGATTAATTTGAGCCAAGATCTTAACTACAGATTTTGGTCAGCATAGATAAAAATCAGACAAGGGCATGTAAAGTGTGATTTGTGACCAATTTAGCTGTGCTGGCAACAGCCTCTAGTGTCAACAGTCATACCAGCAAAGGAACATCCTGCATTTTCATCTGCCCATGAATTTATATAAGATATTGAAAGGCAGAAGTGCTCTGCACAAGGAGATATATGTATGTGACTGAAAGGCACAAACCAATTTCTAAAAAGAAATCATAGTTCACTTAGAAAGTTATAGATAAAATGGACAGGCAAGACCTATTACGGCAGTGATTCTTGAACTTTTCTGTTGGTGACTCCTTTCATACCACAAGCCTCTGAGTGTGGCCCTCATCTTATAAATTAAAAATGGTATTTTTGTATTAAACACTATTATAAATGCTGGAGGAAAAGCAGGGTTTTGGGGATGGAGGCAAACAGCTTACAGCCCCCATGTAATAACCATGAGACTGCTGGATGGGTCATGACCCCCAGTTTGAGAACCCCTGTATTAGACCATCCTGTCCATCTCTCACATATGATATGTCCAGCAAATATTATGATGAAACATAATAACTTCTTATGGAAAAAGGGAAGAAGCAGAGACCAAAATGGAAGATGAAGAAAAATCCATCCATACCCAAGAAGAGAGGTACAGTTTCAGGTTTCACCCTGGAGCTGGACTGAGTTGATGTGGACTATTACTACTTCGCTGATGGCTCCTTCGTAATTTAAGCCCTCATACACTGATTTAGTTTACACCATATGGAGCCAGAAATGGGGGTCATGGCAAGAAAAGCAACACAAGAGTCAGAGAAAGCAACTCCCACCTGACTTACACACCTTCTTACACTATTTTCTGGTTCCTCGCTATGGAAATTACAGCACCTTAAGACTCTATACCATGTTAGTAATTGGATATAAGCAGGTCTAGGAAACTCTGAGTGTAAAATAATTGAGTTTGCATGTACCACTTTAGCCATCACCTCTGGACATCCAGTGGCACACACAGAATAGCATGAACAGTTGTCCAAGTTGAGACTCAGGTGAATCGTCCAAGTGTCCCCTTCCTCGTTCTCCTAGGTTCAGATACACAGCAATTTTATTGAAATCAACATACATCTGGTTTTTTCAGAGAGGTCGTGGAAGTCAGAGAATCTGTGACTTCCTGCACCTTCTGTAACTTCAGCCCATGGCATCCAGCTGCCACAGGGGACCCTTGTACTTGTTTAGCCACTGCAGGTGATATAAGGATCCCACAGCAGAGCTCTCCATTTTGTCATAGATATTTTTAGTAAAAGTCATAGAGGGGTCACAGGCTTCCATGCATTCTTTACTGCCCCCGCCAGTCCATGACTTTTACTAAAATACCCATAACAAAAATCTTAGCCTTGGGTATAACCCAGTGTTTAGGGGACAGATTTGTCAATTCAGATGCAGTTCCAAGTTTCCTGATACTTTAAAAATTAGGGCAACCAGAGGAATAATTAACCCTCTTAATCCTTCAGATAAGTTAAATGATAAACAAAGCAGATTACTTAGCTGCCCCCCTCCACACACACCCTCCTACCTACCATATCCAACAGCATCTGAGAAAATACAAGTTTTTCCTTGAACTTGGCATAAGGAATAGTCATTTCTCAAACACCACTGTGTGGTAACTGTGGACAAATGGTGAAACTGTAATGGTGACCACTGCATCAGTGTTTTACAATATATAGCAGTGATTTCTTTAACCTAAACTGTGCCTCACAAATGAAATAGTTTTAAAAACAGGCCTGCCACCACCTTCTATGATTTACTTTCTAACGCAACAGAAAGATTATTTTTGGAAGTGATCTAATAATTAGCAGAATTGAAAACTGAAGTTACAGATCCAAGATAAAAACAGAAAGCGGGTTATTTAATCAGAGGCTGATTCACAAGACATAGCACAAAGGTCGGCCATGAATTAAATCCTCCGATGATTGCAGAAAGTTCATTCAGAATACTTCAGCTCCCTGTCAAAGTGTCCGGCAGCACTGGGAAGTGGTTGGATGACACACAATCCTGCATCCCCTTTCCATTATTAAAGCTATTCCGATTTCTGCTAGCTGCTCCATTATTCAGGTAATCGAAGCATGCAGGAGTTTCAGTAGTGTAACCACCGAGCCGGACAGAGGCAGGGAAAGTCCAGCCAGTGAGAGATTTATTAAGATAAACATGGTCTAAGGCTCCATATTACGTTAAAAAATAAACACATTAAGAGATATGAAATCACACTGGCTTTGCTACATCAGGCTCAGAGGTTCTTACAAAGACCTTGTCAACCATACAAAATAGTCTTCTCCCACCAAGAGGGTGAGAAGGCCGTTCACGATTTTAGATCAGCAATGCCTCCTTTAACATTCAACAAATACTACTTCTGAAGCTCACTCTCAGGGGATCAAAGGCTCGGGGCACCCCTATGGAGCAGGAGGGCAGGTGTTGAGTCTCTGAAATGAACATTGAAAAGACTTGGCACGATAATGATGAAGATTCCAGATTAGTGGTTGTTCTTCGTTGCCTCTTTAGCTGCAACAATCAGAGGAGTCAGACTAGAAAGGGGCTTTGCAATTTTCAGGAACTGGTGCTATGAGAGAAGGAGAAAACTAAGTTATTGATGATACCTTTGAAGTCACGTCTCACCACAGAAGGAAATGTTTACACCAAAACCATGCAGAGCTCAAATGATTTGCAGTTCTGTTACAGGCTCAAACTCAAACCAGGTTAAACAAAAAGATTTGTTAAAGCCATAAACTTTTCAAGCAAGCCTGGGCTGAGTTCCAGCTATGCACCAAAGTCAGGCTAAATTCTCAGCTTTATGGGCTTATGACACGACTAGTTGAAACTCAGGAAATTCTTTCTGGATTCTGAGTTAATCCACAAATATAAAGTAAAAGTTAGAGGATCTTAGTCCTGAGTGGAGCTCCACCACCAGTTACTGAGCTGGATGCAGGAGTTCCTGAGTGATTTTACGCGGCCCGTATTATGCAAGAGGTCAGACTCAATTATCATAATAGTACCTAGAGGCCCATCAGTCTATTAATCTCTGCAAAACGGAACTGGACTTTGGCACAGCTCTAGCCAAACTCAAAATCAAAGTAATTTACTAGCTCTCCAGGCATCCATGTTAGCATTTGCAGGACCTTCTACTTCCCACCACACCACACAGATATTGTTCAGCATCTGTCACACTCTATGTGGTGCCACAAAGCACTTTACGGAGAGTCCCTCCTGAGCTAAAGAGGGTGGGTTTTGTGGTAAACATCAAAAACTGGCAATCTCTGCAGCAGGGAAAATAAGGGATAACAAATTAAGATTCTAATGCCCCAATTCTACCACAGAGCAATCAAAGGAGGAGACCATAAGACAGATTTAAAGTGGATATCAAGTGAGGGAAGTCAGGTGCAGCCCAGCCACTGAGCACTGGAGGGCCATGACCATCCCATCAATTACACATGCACATCTCCCTCTGGACTTCTGAGGGAGTGGGACACACGCTAATTGAATTCAGTCCTGAAATTGGAAATTCGGGTAGGTTGGTGAGAGGCCAATACTGTTCTGCCCCCTCGAGTGAGAAAGTGTTTTGGCTACAACATGCATGCTCCTGAAAGAGTGACAGCAGGGATTTAGGACGAGCATGAGGGAATGGCACCAGATACAGTAAAACTCCATTGGTCCGGCATCCAATGCTCCGGCACTCCTGATGGTCCAGAACCATCAGGAACTCGGAAGTGCTCTGGCTGCCAGACAATTGGAGCTGCTCTGTGCCCGGCTTCCCTGATTCAACTGCTGCTGAAACTGACCAGCAGCGGCTGAATCAGGGACACCTGGGGCAGAGCCGGACTATCGGAAGGGGGGGGTATGAGGGGGGTGGGGGGTGGAATCAGCCGCTGATCAGTTCAAAGAGCAGCTGAATCCAGATGCCTGGGACAGAGCAGCTGGGACGCTGCCAGGTTGGTCTGGTAGTGCCAACCCTTGGCACTGCGAGACCAACCCCGCAGCGCCCCAGCTGCTCTGTCCCAAGTGTCCCTATTCAGCTGCAGCTCAGGGGCACCGGGAGCAGCTTTTCTCGCCCCGAAGTTCAAGATGGCGGACCGCTGCCTCGAGCTCCGGGGCGAGAAAGCCCCGTTCGTAAGTGAGGATCCGACATAAGTCGGATCCGCGTAAGTCGAGGACTGCCTGTATTTCATGGTTAATTTTTCACATGCTGTCAGCATAGCAAACACTTCAGAACTGCAGAATATGGGGACACATTTCCAAACAATCTAGCACCGCTCCTCGGCGCTACTGGACCAACCCAGCAGCACCCCAGCTGCTCTGCCCCAGGAGTCCTGATTCAGCCACTACTGAAACTGACCAGCAGCAGCTGAATCGGGGACGCCTGGGGCAGAGTCAGACTATCGGAAGGGGGGGGCTATGAGGGGTCTGGGGTGGCATCCCCCCACCCCACACCATCATAGTCCCACCTTCCAATAGTCCAGCATATTTGATAATCCGACACCCCCTGGGTTCTAAAGGTGCCAGATTATCGGAAGTTTACTGTACACGGTTAGCAATTAATGCATGAGTAGCAGTGTCTCAAGGGAAACAGACACAAGGCAGAGAAGGGGCAGGGAAAAAGTTCCCTTTGTAGCCATGCTGAGATGAGTTAAAAAGAGAAACGGCAGGGTCTGAAACATGGTATAAAAGACACATCCACGGCAGGGCTATAGTGGGGAATCATGCAGCTGACAAGGTCAAGAAGAGCAGAGAGAAGTCAGAGCAATCCGGGACAGTGCTGACACGCACCGAGTTAGGCAGCAGCTGTGGAGAAACCATGGGAATAACAGCCAGGCCTAGAGTGACCACTTTGAACCTAGTTACAAAACACTCCACATTGCTGTTGCCATTAGTGGCTAATACAAAAGGGCTACGTCTACACTAGCATGATTTTCCGAAAATGCTTTTAACGGAAAAGTTTTCCGTTAAAAGCATTGATGCTTTTCTGCAAAAGCACTTTTTGCAGAAAAGCGTCCGTGGCCAATCTAGACGTGGTTTTCCACAAAAAAGCCCCGATCGCCATTTTCGCGATCGGGGCTTTTTTGCGGAAAACACTACTGTGCTGTCTACACTGGCCCTTTTGAGCAAAAGTCTTTCAGAAAAACACTTTTGCCTGAATGGGAGCAGCATAGTATTTCTGGAAAAGCACTGATGATTTTACATGAGATCGTCAGTGCTTTTCCGGAAATTCAAGCAGCCAGTGTAGACAGCTGGCAAGATTTTCCAAACCAGTATAAAGGTAAGAAATCCTTAGTACAGGCCAGAGTGGTGACTCAACTTGAGCTTGCCTCTCCGCCCCGGCCTGGTAGTTACCTGTAGCAGTTCTTTGGCAGAGCCTCTTTTCTCTACATCCATCTCAAGACAGCGGTTAAGGAAGTCTCTAAATATGGGCGAAAGCTTCTCGGGATTCTGCAGCTCTGGGGTACCATTGGTAGCAATGAGATACAAGGCCTACAGAAAACGAGCACCAAGGAAACAAAAGGAAACGAGGAGTATTTCAGATTCACACCTTGCTCGAGCAATATCCCTTCCTCTACAAATGACAAACTTTTCTTGTTTTCTGCACATTCGGTTAGGAAAAAATTGTTGGATCACTCATACATGCTTATGTCCCTCTCTATATATTATGAAACAGAAAGGCTGTCTGCCCTATTTTTACATTGACAGGATCTGTCCCTCTAGTATTTTACCCTATTACAGTAAACTTCCGATAATCCGGCACCTTTAGGACCCAGGGGGTGCCGGATTATCAGATTTGCCGGACTATAGGAAGTGAGGGCTATGAGGGGTCTGCAGTGGGGGAGATGTCACCCCAGACCCCTCATAGCCCCCCCCCTTCAGATAGTCCAGCTCTGCCCCAGGCGTCCCTGATTCAGCCGCTGCTGAAACTGACCAGCGGCTGAATCGGGGAAGCCGGGGGCAGAGCAGCTGGGGCGCTGCCAGGTTGATCCCTTGGGGCTGCAGGACCACCCCAGCAGTGCCCCAGCTGTCCCCGATTCAGCCACCGCTGAAACTGACCAGCAGCGGCTGAATCAGGGACGCCTGCAGCAGAGCAGCAGGAGTGCTGCCGGGTTGGTCCGATAGCGCTGACCCTTGGCACGGCGAAACCAACCCCGCAGCCCCCCAGCTGCTCTTGGGGACGTCGGGGGCAGAGCATCTGGGGGGCTGCCGGGGTGGTCCCGCAGTGCCGCTCCTCAGCGCTACTGGACCAACCCGGTAGCAACCAGAGCTGCTCTGCCCCCGGCTTCCCCGATTCAGCTGCGGGTCAGTTTTAGCAACGGCTCAATCGGGCGAGCTGCGGGTAGAGCAGCTCCACTGGTCTGGCTGCCCGGAGTACTTCCGGGTTCCTGATGGTGCCAGACCATCAGGAGGGCCGGACCATCAGATGCCGGACCATCGGAGTTTTACTGTAATCCAGATTTGGAACCTGTCATCATCTGGAAGCATTTGCAGAAAGAAAAAAACATTTCACGTCTTCTCTAAGAGCTTTATACACAAAGAAGTTTACTATCATAACTATATCAGTACAATTACACCACTGTGGTTTAGATAGGTCTAACTGATTAAGCAGGCACTTTTATTCTGCAAGAAGAACATGCACATAGGGAGTTATACCATGATAACTACAGCAGTATAACTCTACTGGCATAAATACCCCTGGCACACACAAACCCAAAGAGCCCAGTTTTGTAAGGCACTGAGTGCCTCTTTGCAAGTGCTCAGGGACTCAGCACCTTGTAAAAGCCACCTGCTTTCCCACTAAGCAAAGAGACAATTCCCTCTGTTTGGAGCAGGCTGACTAAGAGCCACTCAGAGCATCTGATTTAAAAGAGAACCATCCTTTGGGAGGAGAATGCCTCCATCTGCAAAGACAGAAGGCAAGAATCAGTTTGATTCCCCCAGGCAATCTGAAGGCTTATCAGAGCCCATGAGCATGGTGTTCCTAAGTGGAGCAATTCAACAGCCTGGGAACTGGAGCATCTTGAGTTAAATTAGGTCAGTATTAAGTTAATAAGGACAGTTAAGTAACAGTCAATTGCTTTCCCCTTTATCCTCCTCACTGCCTCCCTCCCCCTTTGGGCTTTTCCTTAGGCTATGTCTACACCACAGCCTAGGCTGGCAAAACTTCGGTCACCAGGGGTGTGAGTATTCCGCCCAATGAAACATCATATGTCACGCTGGCACAGGCTGTGGAATGCCTAATGTAGTGTCAGTGAGGGAGCTTCTGCCACTCACAGAGGTGGATTTTTTTATGCAGATGGGAGAGCTCTCTCCTGTCAGCATAGATTCAACCACCTTCACCAGCCACACTACAGCGTCCCAGCAACACTGCTGCACAGCTAGACAGAGCGTTAGCCTCTTGCACTGGAAACAAATGTTAAATGAACTGGGCTCTTCTCATCCTCTTCGGAGTCACATCTGAATAACAGAGGGATCATTTAATCCATCGATTGGCCCTAGGGGTCATCTGCATCCCAACGAATAAGGGAAGGTCTGAGGTATGCTGCATAGCGAGAGGGACAATGTCCAGCAGGTGACACCCAACATTTTATGAAACCAGTAACAAAAACATTTTCTAATTAAAAAAAAAAAGTTTGATGAAGGTGCTTGGATTTGGAAATTCTCCTGCAACGCTTGCAGCTCATCCGTGGCCTGAGCTCGGCACCAGCAACCCATCCATCACAGACACAGTAGGAGAATCAGGAAGTGAAGGAGAGGGATGGCCCAGGAGGAACTGAGATGGAGGATTTGAGAGGCCACCTGCCATTACTGCACACTCTGCCTACCGCTGCTGCTCAGGCCGCATGCCCCTGGCTCAGCACAGCAAGTAATTACTCACATTTGGGCCCTCAATATCTAAAAGTGAGTCTACAAAAGTGCTTGTCATGCTCTGAGGTGGGGTGATATTCCCAGAAAGACAGCTTGTGAAGGGACAGTTAAATCTCTTCACAAAAAACGAGACTCTTGGCCTCCCCTACCTTCAATCACACTCAGACTTTTAAAGCCCTGAAATCTTCACAATTTTTCTCATTTCTAGATTCAAGCCAGCCTAGGGACTGAACGGAGAGAAGCATCACAAAAGGCTATCTGTGCATTACTTCTGACTTAGTATAGCAGAGAAGCATCCAAGATGCATCCGTTCACCCTAATGCAGAAAATTCGGAGGATTCCTTGTTATCATATGAATACACGGTATCAGTATCACAAGAGCAAAGTCAGGTCTGGCACATCTGGCTGACTCTTGCATGGCATTGCAGTGACACAGCATTAGCTTACTCTCAAGGGGTTCTCATTCAGGTACGGAGGCTCTCCCTCAATCATTTCAATTGCCATGATTCCCAGAGACCAGATGTCCACTTTTGGTCCATAAGCCTTCCTTGTTACTACTTCAGGAGCCATCCAGTAAGGGGTCCCCACCATGGTGCTGCGTTTGCTCTGCTCTGGTGTTATCTGGGCACAGAAACCAAAGTCAGCTGTAAGAGAAAAATGGAGGGGAAAGAAAAAAACAAGGAGATATTTTACAGATAAGCTAGTTTGTTCACAAAGAAATATAAGAACATAAGAATGGCCATTCTGGGTCAGACCAAAAGTGCCAAAACAAGTGATCAAATGATATAAGCCCATCTCGCCTATTCCCAGTTTCTGGCAAACAGAAACTAGGGACACCATCCCTGCCCCTCCTGGCTCATAGCCAATGAAGGACCTATCCTCCATGTATTTATATAGTTTTTTTTCCAACCCTGTAACTGCTTTGGCATTCACAATATCTTCTGGCAAGGAGTTCCACAGATTGACTGTGCACTGTATGAAAAGATACTTCTTTTTGTTTTAAAATTGCTGCTTATTAATTTCAGTTGGTGACCTGTAGTTCTTGTATTAGAAGAATATCATTAATGCCAGAGAACTGACTGAGAACAAGGCTGAAATTCGGTTTCATGTTATGCATCAGCATAAGTTATGGTAGCACTTATGAAAAGAAAAATAGTTATGTGGTTTAAACACAAGGCATCTGGATTCTGTAACAGACTCATTGTAATGCTGTTGGACAAGTGAACACCTCCACAACCTTGCATAAAATGGGGACGGTATTTCTTGTTTCACAACCTCCCTATAGCCCCTTGAAAGTTTAAAGCTCTCTATATAAGCTGTACATTCTAAATGTCATTATTCTAAATTGACACAACCAGGAAAGTTAATTGATGCAAAGTTTGAGCTAGGGTTAGGCTTAGTCTATGTTTTTTCTCATCAGATGTTTCAATGCGATTACTTACGGGCATACTAAAATCAATTTACTTTTAGAAATTAACATTTAGTGAAGATTTCTGGTCCCCATGTCTTTTCAACTCATCTGCTTATTTGACTAAGACAAGCATTTACTCTTTTTAGCCTGACAAAGTCAACACAGCAAGCTGTTTCACTCCTGCCTCATGCACCCTAAAGATTGCTTATGGGAACGGTGCTTCCTCAAGATGTGATATTCCACATAGGCCGAGTCTACACTATACCACTTCCCCTGACCTTCTCCCAGTCAATCTAATCTACACAACTTCAGCTATACAAACAGCACAGCATAGTTGACATCAATGTATTTACTCAGTGTCTTCCATATGGTAAGGTTGGCGGGAGCTGCTCTCCTGTCAACTCTAGCTCCTCTTCTCATCCTGGTGGAGTACTGGAGTCAACGGGAGAGCACTGAGGTGTCAATTTAGAGTCTCGCAATAAATCAACCGCTGGTGGGTCAATCACTGCAGTTTTGATCCACCATGTAGTGACAAGCCCTCAGATTTGTGTGTGCCCAGAGCACCAGAGCTGGAGAAATTTGCTTAGCATGACCCAAAGAGATGCAGCACTTGTGCCTCCTGGCTATGGATCCTCCCCTGGCCACATGGGGTGGTGATGTCCTGATCCTCCCTCAGTTTCTTTGCACCGAACGCCTGGAAACAAGACTCCATTGCAGAGAGGCTGGAAGGTGGGTCATGGAATACATGTCTCCATTACATCTCGAAGATCCACAGTTACAATAAGTGACCATTTCTTCTTCTGTGAGTAGACGCAACCATGTATGCCACTGGGGTGACTCAAGCAGTACCCTACCATTGGTGTTTGTGATGGGAAGGAGACTAATTGTTATTGTTATTATAGCTAATAGAAAGTATATAAACTGCTTCATAATTGCTTGTATTCGAAGATCTGCCTCGGAAGGGGGGGGCTCCCCCTCCACCCGAACCAGTTTTTCCCTTGCTGCAGCTCGTAATAAAACTGCCTCTGGCTACTTGTTGCTTAAACACAACGCAGAGTGAAGGCTTGTTTTCTTCCACACTGTCAGAGAAAAGAAACTGCCCCCCCCCAGTAAAAAAGTTTGGCCAGGCCGCTCTTGTTCTGCAGTACTCCTTGAGAGAAACCGGCCGCACCCTTCCTGCATACCATTGCCTTTAGAAAAAGGAAAGGTGTAAAACAAAAAGAAGTATCTTTTCATACAGTGCACAGTCAATCTGTGGAACTCCTTGCCAGAAGATATCGTGAAGGCCAATAGCCTCAGACTCTCCCACCCGTCACCTTGGCGTGAGAACTGCGGGGCTTACCTGGTCGCATGAAACCTGCACAGTTTCGGCCCAACCCCTGGGACACAGACCCCCCACTTGGTGACCATTGGGCCATATATGGTAATATGCAAGCGCGGGAAAGCGATGTGCAGATTTGGGGATAAATACCCATGGCACAGTTCACTCTAGGAGGTCTTCGCAACACACGTACCACCGTGCGTGTGCCTTCTCGTATACTTCAAAGCGCTACCGGCCTGATCAACCGACCAGCCACCTCCCCCGACTCTCGGGCGTAACCAAGGCCTTCGCAACCGAACCGATATCTGTGAAATGTTCCGTGTGCTGTGTAAGTTGGTATGTATGATTTGATTTTTTCCTGTTGTATAAGCTTAGTGTTGTAGTTGTTTTTGGGTAGTACATAAGAGTTTGTAATTATCACTGTTATTTAATTACTGTAGCTGGATATTTTAAGATTAGAGACTATTCCCCTTGCCATTCCCATCCCTATATCTCTGACACGTTTTACTAGAAGCCATAGAATAAATATAATAAATACTGTAAATTCATTATTAACACGGTCTATTAAAAATCTTAGAATAAATACTATAAATTCACCTCTGTCATAAATAAATATTTTTTATTTGATAAAACTGTCCACCTGGCTCTGTCCTTCCCCCGTTCAGTATTCATTATCGGGCCTGTGATTCTCGCGACACACACCTCCCTGGGAAAGGGTGCCTTCTTGTGTGCCAGCCCCAACTCTGTGCTACTCCATGCTTTTCCTGAGGGAGACAGAAGAGTCAGCTCCAGACCTGAAGCAATCTCAACTGGTTTCTGCAGAGGTGTCTGCTCTGGAAAGTGAAGTGGCAGCGCACTCACAACCCGAGAGCGATCTCTGGCCTGGTGAAAGCCCTGCTACCAAAGCAGGCTGCATACAACCTGTTTAAGCAGGTGCTGAGACAGGAAAATGTCCTGAGCCTCGAGTCCACTGTCTTAAATGATTGCACAATACTCTGGGGTGGGCCTCACCAAGACAGAGCCAAGACAGGTCACTCCCCCAAAGTCAAGGACAATGTTTAAACCCAGTAGGGACATCACTGAGGAAACAAACGACTACAACTAATGCTACTCTAGCACGAAGGGTACTCTTAACTACACACGAGGGAACAACCTAAACTAGCTGAGAGGTTGTGACCATGCAGAGCTCCGACTCCAGCCACAGTACGAAAAAACAGAGAGGGTCAGGGGAGCATCGCCTCAGCTAAGAAAAGGGTTATGGCCAGGAGGCACAAGTGCCACCCTTCTATGGGTACAGCAAGCAAATTTCTTCAGCTCCAATGCGCTGCACACATGCACGCCGAAGCAGAACACCTGCAGCTACTGGAAGAGACAACAACCAGCCAATTGCTGCTGGCAGACTTATTTCAGACTGGTAAGGGACAGAATACACACAGCTTAATTTTCAGACCCCCCTGGGGAGCCTCATAGCCAGTCTAACCACTGGAAAAACCATCTATGGCTTATACCTGTGTAAAATCTGTACTGGAGCCATTGAAAGAATCGGAAAGCATGCTGCACCATTTTCCACAGAAAGACTTTTCTAACTTAGCCCGCAATAAGCAGATATCAGAATGCAGCTTTAAAAAGAGAAATTGTGTAACACGCACAGCACCTTTGCCTCTGGCTAGCTATTCATACCTTGAGACAAAGTCAAAGCCGTGGGCTACTGACGTGCAGTTCTACTCTGAAAAGTGATTATATAAAACGTATAAATGATACTTTCTTACTCAGCAGATCTGCTCGTGGAGTGAATATAGCATTCTAGCTGCTCGCATTTACTGACTAAGCAGAGGTTTATTCATTTATTTATGTTTGTCTCCTGTTAACTCTAGAGCAGGTTTCTCTTCCATTTAATGCACCATCAAAGTTCTTTACTAGGTTCCAGTCAATTATCCCGTGCAAGCCCATGGCAAGCGATATGATTGCACAGGAGACGTGAAGGACAATGTGGCGGGCAGAATCTTAGCTGCTGGTGATAATGTGCATGAAGGAAAGAGCTCAGCATGGCTCTCAGAGCCCAGACTGAGTGGGCATGGCTGACAGTTTGCAAAGATGGAATACATGGAACCCACTATGCAGGTTGTTATTCATACTAAATGTGTTCTGTCCTCAAGTAATGAGACCTCTTCCTCCCACCCCTAGTCATCTTTTTAATCTAGCCCAAACATATTTAAAGCTATGGTCTCAATGCACATTGATTTAACCCTGCAGCTACCATTAATGCAAATAGGTGCCACTGCCATATCGGAACACCAAAAACATCGACTGTCCTCACAACACAACTATACCTTGGAAGGACAACCTGCCCTTTCATTTGCAAGCTCATAATTAGAGTTATTATCAAGGGTGCCTTCTGCGTACTTAGCTTGACGGAGCCATCCATTCCTAGTAGGATATTGTCACTCTTGATGTCTCGGTGAATGACTTGGTTCGAATGCAGGAATTCCAGAGCCTGAAGACACTATGAGAAAGTCCACAACACAGTATTTTAAATAAAGCCATTCAACAACCTAGGAAACAGCACTGGAAAAGGAGCAACTGATCAACTAGTCCAATTTGAATATGTGCACTTTTAAACAGCATGGGCTTAGTTTCTTTAGAATATGCAAACTATTTTATCCTCATTATCCTGTTTTAATGGCTACATTTCTGATGTGACACACAAGTGATACTGTCAGATCTCAAACCTGGGTAGAATAGAAGTACAAACAAAGGACCCGCCATGGAATGAATCATTATGAGCTGGTCAAAGAATGGATTTTCAGTTCATTGGCAAGTCCCCCCCAAAATAGACCAATGCATAAATAAGTTACTTTTTGGGTCAAACCAAAAATGACATTTAAAACCCTTTTTACAAATAAAAAAAATGTTAGTCAAAACTAATCAAAATGTCTTAATGTAAAAACAAAATGTTTCACTGCTACTCAAAACATTCTGTTTCTGTTTTCAGGCATTTTGACAAAAGCAAAGGAATTTCAAACAGGGAGAAGATGGGTGGAACATCCTTTATAAGCATTCATCCACTGGCGAGAGCAGCCACATGGGAGATTACTACTCCAACAGAACCCCAATGCAAGATGACAAGAGACTCATTGGCATTGAAAGTGAGTTTCAGCTGGCCTGACCAACTCATTAATGATATAAACGACATCTTTTAGATACAGGTTTAGATAGCACCAGAAAGCTAAATACCATACTGATCATTGATAGTAAAAGTGCACATACAGGGGCAAATTCAAACATACAAACATTGGTAATTACATTCTTCAAGTGCATCTGCTAGACAGCACTGAAGTCACCCCACCCTAAACAAAGAAATATGATTCTGCCACTTTGAAGGTAGTTCCAAAGTTGAGCAAGCGGCAGTGGAAATGCAATGTACATAGAAGATTAACAAGACCATCAAACACGCAAGTGAAGGAGATAACCACTCAGCATCACAGCATAGGGAGGAGACTGCAGGCAACAGATCAATTTGCATTTTAGCATACACCAGTGAGGGAAGAAAACAGCATCAAACTTTCTCCACCAGGATACTCCAAGTTGCCTTCTTCTCAGCCTGAATGGACTTTACTGTGGGGAAGTTAACCTTCAGAAGAATTCATTTTAAAGGTTCACTAGGCTATAAAAGAGTGGAGGCAATGAAACCCAAGTTATCTTCCATCTAAAAAGACAAATCTTTCAGGTCTTTGTGGGACACCCAACAAGAGAGGAGGTCAGCCATCTTGCTGAAAGGTAAACTGGTACCTTGAACCAAGACTATAGCTTGTTTAGTTAAATCCTAGGCTCCAGAAAGCATTTTTCACTTGTGTTCCTGTAATCATTTCTAACTCTATTCTTTACACTTGAACTCACTTAAAACTATCTCCTTTTGCTCCCAGTCTTGTTTTACTTTTAATCTAACCCAATCCAGCATTGTGTTACAGGTTGTCCTCGCTACAAGTCCAAGATACATTCCAAAAAACTTGGATTTATAGCAAAACAACTTAAAGCAGGGACTTTTTTTCTGCACCTGATTTGCGCTAATTTTTTTTTTTTTTTTTGCACGACTTAAGAGTGGGGAATGGGAGGATTTATAATGCATCATTTCCTAAATGACTTTAGTGTGGAATGGATGTATACCAGAGCAACTTATAGTGGGGACACCTTGTATTATGTTTTTTAACTGAAGTGATGGTTAACTCCAGTTAAAAAGTGATGAGCTACGCATTTTCTCTCTTTAGAGGAGTAAACAGGCCTTATTATTTCTCTGAACAGTCCAGGAAAGGGCTGGACATTGAAGGGCACAAGGTTCCAGGAAAATTCAGGCCTAGTGGCTTTTCATATCACCATGTCTGACCACAAATTGCCACTATCAACGATAGTGAATAGTTATTTGGCCAGTGAAAGACGTCAAGAATGAGGCCTTCAGCCTATGAAACTGAACCTGGGTATCCTATATCCAAGATACCTGTATAACCCACACACCTACTGGGTGTGGTGTATTGTCCCATGTAGTGGCATTTAGGCCACTTACAGAAAGAAAGAGTGACTTTCCTCTATAGCCTGAGCTGAGAGCCAGCTGGCTTTTAGCTCAAGCTGTAGAGGCTCTTGCACTAAGCTCCAATGGTCCCAGATTCAGTTACACCTCTCCAGCCACAAAGCTAATAGTTATAACTAGGGTTGCCAGGTGTCCAGTATTGACCTGGACAGTCCAGTATTTTTGCCTCCTGTCTGGTAAAAAAAATTCAGAAAATACCAGACACCTAAAATGTCCGGTATTTTCTGATTTTTTTTCCCCGGACAGGAGGTGAAAATACTGGATACCTGGCAACCCTATGACACACTCGGCAACTGGGCCCAGCCCCCGGCATCCCCCCTCCCACCCCCAGACCCCCTGCTTACCTGGTTCTGCAGGTAAGCTGCATTTTGGCTTGATCACAAAAACAAAATGGCCACCAGCAAAAAAGCCTAAAGACCAAGGGGAAGCAATGCCTTCCCTGGGTCTTAGTGCTCCACCGCTCCCCTGTTCCTATTGCTATTCCGACTCTGCAGGCACTCTGAAAGGGGCCATGCTGTTTTATTTATTTATTTATTTTGCTCAACAACTTTGGTCTCACCTCCCCCCCGCCAACATAATTTTTTCCCCGGTGTTTTTTTTGGGGGAGGGGGGGAAGGGATGTTCAGTATTTTTGGTTAAACCATATGGCAACTCTAGTTATAAAGGAAACACCTCCTGCTGTTTTATGAAGCCTTTGCTTTACTTTCTTCAAAATGCCTGAAATGGTGTGGGATTGAAACAAAAGATTTCCTTTCAACAGTACTGAAACATTGAAACTTTTTCTCTTTGGTTGAAGCTGTTTAAACTTGACACAAGTTTATGAATTGCTTCACAGCATTTCCAGAGAAGGACGACGGTAAGGTCTCTGAGACTGTACAAAATTACGGTGGGTGGAGCTTTTTCAAAGGTGCAGAGGGCAGCTGGGACAATGGAAAGTCAATGGAAGTTAAGTGCCTAACTCCCATCTGTGCCTTTGAAAATCTGCCCCTTGATTTACAATCTTTCAGAATTTGCTTGTCCCTCGCTGCCTGGTTTTGAGGCAAATCAAACCAGTATAAAGTCAATTTCTCCCGATGTAATGGAGAGTGCAGAAAATTAAAAATATTAAGATTTCCAGGCCAGGTGGGACGAATGATCACCTAGTCTGCCCTCACACATAATAGAGCATAGAACCGACCCAGTATTTTTTTCCATCCAACCCGTAACTTGTTTGCATTAGAGTATAGCTCTGCAAAAGGCATCCAGTATTGACTGAAAATGATGGAGAAGCCACTATACCCCTACATAGACACTGTCAGGCAGGTTTTACTTCAAGCAAGGACTTTAGGGAACATTCAAATTGTTGAAGATGGGACTACATCCAGTAGCTAATGTTCGTACAGCATTTCATGCTATTTCCGTGCTCAACTCATTGGTGATACTGCTTTTAAACCTTTCTAAGCTACGTCCTATGGAACATCAAGTTCCAAGTCACAGCAAGCATCACAGTTATCCTGTAAAAACCATGGTTCTTCATAGAAACCTTCATTTTATTTACACATTTCACACAGAGCGCTCACAGAGCATAATCTTACCTCACGACACACAGCTGCTATCTGTCCTTCATCCATGCAGGTCTCGGTTACGACATCCGTCAGGGAGCCGCCTGCCAAATACTCCATAACTACCCACAGCTCATCTCCTACAAGGTAACTATAAAGGGCCAAAAAAATAACAGAAGGTAGCTGTATTTCTTTAGCCAAAAAGCTCCGAGTAAAGCTATTTTTAAACAGTAGTGGGCCACTAGGCATCTGTGCCTCATTCCGAAGCCCAAAATGCCTGCAGTCAGTGTGAAGTTATGGAAACAGCTTTGAGCACAGCTGAGAGCTCTCTCTGTTCAGACGCATCACTGGGATTCACAGTCTATCATCATCCAATTTTATGTTCTCAGCATTTTTACTTCATGTGTTACACCTGCGTGGTGTACAACTCAGGGAGGTAAAATCCCATTGAATCGGTTAACTGGTTCCAGGCAAGGGCTGTGCCAGCCGAGCTGGAGCAGCCCCTGCCTGTGAGGCACCTGGGTCCACCGTGGACACAAGCTGCTCTGGCAGGGATGCTGGAGCTGCCCCTCCCTAAGGGGGTACCCGGGCCCATTGCAGGCAGGGGATGCTCCAGCCCAGCCGGACCAGCCATGGAGGGTTCCCCCACACATGGCTGAAGCAGCCCCTGCTCCAGTGCCCGCTGGTTAACCTTAACCAGTAAGCCTCACTCCTTAAGGGCAAGGTTTACTGGTTAACCATTCACATCCCTAGTACAGCTATGGTAATGTGTGTATCTAAGCCATGCCGAGAGTCCCAGACCATTGTTATAGGAGAGGAAGCTCAACCAATCACCACCCTTACTCTGTAGGGGTACGTCTAGACTACACGGCTCCGTTGACGGAGCCATGGAAAATAGTTTACTTGGCATAGTCAAAGAAGCGGGGATTTAAATAATGGCTTGGTTTACCAGAGTGGTCGACAAAGGCTTCCCTTGTCGACTGCGCCGCATCTAGACTGCCACACTGTGCTGGATCAGCTGATCGTCGGCATAGTGCGGTGGCCATTTTTATTTTAATGAAGCAGGGATTTAAATCCCCACTACTTTGACTATGCCGAGTAAACTATTTTACATGGCTCCGTCGATGGAGCCATATAGTCTAGACGTACCCTAGCTAATTAACATGTAACAATTTCATTGACTATATGAGAGAAACTGCACAGACGGTGAATTACTTGGCTCAATAGCCATACCCCTGTACTTGTCACCACATAAATCCACACAACTCTCCCAGCACAACACAATCACACACTCAGCCAATATGTATGATTAACCCCAACATACACATAACACACACACTCTTAACTATAGTACACACTCCTCATTCACCACCCACACAAATCAACACAAATCTTCCAGCACAATATCATCTAGATACAAATCAACAGAGCCACCTATATAACAAACAATGTACACATGGGATTTGCTTTCTGTTACATACAAGTTTTAAGTTCTCAGCCATTTTCAACTATTTTATTTTTGGCATATGAATTACCCTGAGACTGCACGGACTTTCAGATATGAGTTAATTTAGTAGTGCTAGAGATGCAATTTACTTGTACAATTAGGAATATAAGCGACTAGTTGAGTCACTACTCGACTAGTTGCTTCCCCCTCCTTGCTGCCTCTGGATTAGAGGAAGCAAGGGTGGAGAGTATGAGCTGGTGCTGGGTGAGAGCTGGCTTAAAAGCTGGTTTCCCCCAGCACCATCTCCACGGG